GGTTCTGTATGTTGCTTCATAATAACGAATTGACGACTACGAATTTACTGCAGATTGAATTAATGTAAAGATAGCGTGACAGTTTAACATTTGACATAGCTAAAAGTATCGCGAAGGCGGTAATTTACTTTTTATGTTGTCAGTGATAATCGTTCACTCTGGTAAAAAGAATAGTTTGCTTAAAAAAAACGTTTTTTTTTTTCAATTCTTGATCATTGAGGTATTACTATAGGTTAGTAATATAGTTCGATGTTCATGATTGATTTTATGTTGTCATTAAGAAATTTTTGATTGTAAAAATATTACAAAAGTATTACGTAACAAAAAAGAAAATGAAATAGGATTTTGTTTATATATATAAAAATAAAAGTCTTGATTCATACTGTTGTGAAAACGGTTATTTAAAACATAACTATTATCAAGACTACTTGTATTGTACGAAAAAGAATAACGAAACATTTTTTGCATTGTTGGTGAAGCGATTCCCAAGAACATGTGGACCGCTACGTTGTTAGATCAAACACACCATCCTGCCGGCATTGTAGTGCCTCTATCAATAGCTTCAAAAAAATATTCTTTCTGTCTCTTTCTTATTCATGAAGATCAACTGTGTTACGAAAGAAAAGGATATAGTGAAACTTCTTTTGACTTAATTGCTTCCAGGGTGAAAAGATTTCAAACAATGGTGCATTGGCAGGAACAACAGAACATTACTAAAATGGCATCTTGTAATTGCTAATTTCCTCAGGTGTCATTTGAAGGCAGTGTTAAAATGTTAAAGTTCTTGTCATATTTTATTGTATATATATTGTATTTTATTTTTATTACTTTACATCTAATATGTTTTTAAAGCTTTACATCATTAAACTTATAACTGTCTAGTGAACATAATATAATATCAAATAGAATTTGTAGAAATCTTTTTTTAGTATATATGATGTATATTCATTATTCTGAAAGTTCGTAGTAATATTAGAATAGATTACACAGAATTAAGAAAAAACAGCGGACAAGCACTTCATTAATATACCTTGCTTAACTAAAAAATGTCAATGAAATATTAGAAATGATATAAACAAAAATGTTATTATTTACTTTAAAACACACATTCCATATTACGTTATTTGAGTTATCTATCCATTTATTTGTCATCGTCATAGCAGCCACTTAGTAGTTTACTAGAAAGAAATGTAGCCTCCACCAACTTCCTCCATGTCTTGCCACTTCGTCACTTAACCTAGTGGTTGTTGACTTAACTTCACGTGTTATTTAAATGATTTCTCCTTAAGAAACTAGTTATTTTTATGTTAAACGGCGCAAATACTGGAATCATTTGATAGTGATATTTTTTATAGATGTAAGCGCAAAGTTGTATGCGGCTCACCTGATGGTAAGTGTCGACCGCCGCCCACGACCAACTGCCACACAGGGAAATTGAAGATGCGTTAGAATAATACATATTAATATGAACAATTATGATTTAGTAGTGTGTTAGTTTATCTACATACAAATAGACACCATTTTACACTAAGAACATTTTACACTAGAAACTTATTAATATGCATATATTATACTATGTTTCAAATTTCAATATTCTGTATGACAACAGTGTCGGATCTCTTATTTTAAATAGAATTATTGGCAAATGCACTACCATGCGTCGTTGATACTGCTATCTGTTGCCAGTATGGGTGTTTTATATCTGGCATAAATTGTAAAACTGCCTAGTTGGTCTAGTGGTTTTAGTAGTGCGACTGCTGATCATGAGGTCCTGCGTCGGGCCAAAAAATCAATAATTGAGTTTTTCTGTCAAGAAATTGTCAGTAGCTGCCCGGAGTCAGGAAGTTGGCGGTGTCTCCCTCCCGTGCCTCGGAAAGCACGTAAAGCCGTTGGTCCTGCGCCCGATCTCTCTCCCGGTCGTGTCGGTTTACCGTTCCATCGGATTACGAGAGTGAAGAAATAGTGCACCTATGCTTGCTGTCCTGCGCCGATGGTTAGCCTACGTTAAGGTTGGCCGCCGTGACCGAAACTCAGTCTGTTAAAAGAGTTCCATGACCATCAAAACACAAACATGTACAATAAAGTCCAAGCCAATGATGAGGAATATAAAAATGAAACTATCTTTTTTGCCTTTAGAAAGATTGCTTTCTAGTGTGTTTTGATAGTTAAAAATAAATATTTTTTGTTATTTTATATTCCATTTTAAATTTCATTTTTAAAATTAAGATTAGCCGTGGTAGCCCAGATGTTTAGCGCTCGCTGTAAATTTCTATTTTTTTATACAATTGAGTGACAAACGAGCACATAGTCCACCTGATGGTAAGTGTTTGCTGTGGTCCATAGACATCTACATCTATCCTCGATTACGAATCAAAATGCAGATGCGTTGTCACACGTAAGAACTAAAATGAAATGCCTCATTTCCAGTAAAAAAGGTCTCCGGTTCTCTACACTCACCATACGAAACACAGCAATATTAAGCTACTATTTTACGCTGGTATTCTGTGAGAGCATGATCCTTCCCCGTTCGAGCCAACTCGTTCGTGCTACAACTATACTAGATATTAGCAACCTGCTAAAAGCCAAAAAAGCTGCCCTCCGTAGAGCTGCACGCTATCCCACTCCCGAATATAGACTCGTGGCCCACCGCCTTCAACGCAAACTCCGTTACCGCCTCCAAGATTATAGAGACCTCGAAAGGAATCTCATGGAGAAAATCTCTCCCTCCCACACAGCGTACTACCAGATGGCGAGAGCCCTCCGGATAGACGCTATAACGCATACTCCTCCTCTGTCTCTTCCCGACGGCTCTATTGCCTTCGAAGACGAAGAAAAGGCTGAGTGCTTCGCCGACAGCGTCGCCGCTCAATGCTCTCCTAGCTCACAACCCACTGACCCCATACACATCCAACTAGTGGAGGACGAGGTCCGTCGCCGGAACTCGCCCCCTATCGCCTCTGACCCTATCACTGTGTCCAAAGATGAGATTTCATCTACCATCAAAGGACTTAAGCCTAAAAAAGCACCGGGTGCGGATGGCATCTCCAACCAAGCCTTCAAACACTTTCTGGAGCAGGTGATCGCCTTATTGGCCATAATCTTCAACGCCTGCTTCGAATTCAGCTACTTTCCCACCTCTTGGAAAGAGGAAACTGTCATTGGCATTCCCAAGCCAGACAAACCTCACCACCTCCCCTCCAATCACCGTCCCATCAGCCTCCTCAAGGCCATAGGCAAACTTTTCAAACGAGTCATTCTCGTGCGCATGAGGCGCCATTTGTTTTCCACAGACGGCGACCCTCTTGTCATCCCACAATAATTCGGGTTTCGAGCCAAACACTCGTGCCCCCAGCAAGTTCACCGCATAGTGGAATATATCCTCAGCGGTATTTATCCTCGTCGGCAAAAAACCATCGCGGTCTTTTTCGACATTGCCAAGGCATTCGACAGAGTTTGGCACGAGGGCCTTATCTTCAAATTGTACGACTTGACCTTGACCCTGACCGTCTCGTTCGCCTTGTAGCCTCCTATCTGAAGGATCGTACCTTTCGCTTTAGACACGAAAGCACGCTATCCTCTACTCGTCAAATCAAAGCCGGTGTCCCTCAAGGCTCTGTGCTTGCCCCCCTCCTATATATACTATTTACCAACGCCATCCCTATCCCGTCGAATGGTGTTAAACTAGCCCTCTTCGCAGATGACACAGCCCTTTACTCTAAAGGCAATACTGCCACAGTTTCGAACAGATCAAAAGTCAGTAAGCGACTTAGGAGCTTGGTTCCAAAAATGGCGTATCGACGTGAACCCGAAGAAGAGCTCCGCCGTTTGCTTCGAATATAAACGACGCCGTCTTACCACCACTCCGCCAATCAGGATGTTAGGAACCCCTGTACCATGGCAAACTACAGCCAAATATTTAGGCGTCACCCTTGATGCAAGGCTCACTTTCGAACCCCATACCAAGAAGGTTACTCGCACTCAACAGCATGTTGGGCAGACACAGTAAAATGTCCCTCCGCAACAAGCGAACCCTATATAAGGTCTGCATACGACCTGTCATGACCTACGCGACCCCCAATTTCGCACATGCTAAGCCCAAAGCTATAAATGAACTTCAAATAGTTCAAAATCTATTCTGTCGTAGGGCCACTAACTCGCCCTATTATGTCCGTAATGCCGACCTACACCGCGACTTAAAGCTCCCAACATTCCAGCAGTTCCTTAAATCACTCTCTGAGAGATTTTTCAAAGCCTCAGAGTCCCATCCAAATCATCTCATTCGTGAGACAGCTGCCTATGCAGCCCCTATCCACACTCGCTATAGTGTGCGCAGACCGAGAAACTCTCTCTCGGACCCCCCAACAAGCTTTCGGCTGACCTGAACTGCCTCCTGGCGGCTCAGGCCGAGCCGACATAACACATCCCTTAATATGCCTTAGTTAAGTAAAGTAACACTTCCAATCGGCTTTTCGCCGCTTGCGCCCTCTTTTCTGCCAAGGAGGGTCGCGTTCGTATACGGCTTAGAGATCTCTAGTTAGACCGTTAAGCCAGTCCCTAAAAGGCGGGTAAAAGTCTCCACATAACCACGCAGCCGGCTGCGTGGTATGCTATGAGCATTCACCGCCTCCCTCCCCCGCTTTCCGGAGGGTTGCCCATAATTGCTTCGGGTGCAAAAAAAACAACTATACCACTAATATAACTGCAGCATGGCTCTACCACGTATGTTTCACAGTACGCGAGCAACCCGAGTTCAATCCCCGCTGGTAACAATGAAATTGTTAATTGAAATTTTAAGTGCTGATTTACCACGTACTCGGCGGTAAAGGAAAACATCGTGAGGAAACCTGTATGTCTGAAAAGACATGAGAAATTGCCTGCTTGTGCTTAGTGGTGGGATGTATATATGCTGTAACTTTAACTTTTTAACTCTTAGCAAATGTAGTTCTCTTTTGAGAGTGAATCTTTAAAATGTTCTTTTTTTTCAGACTCTGCTTTTAAGAATGAAATGCACTAAGCTCCATTTACAGGAAAGAATAAAGGCAAGACAAACAACTGAGCCTCATCGCGATAAGCCAAGAAGATATTGCCAGAAAATATTAGTGGATGCCCAATTTGAAGAAAATTCTAGGTGGACGGATGCTTTGCAAAGGTGTTTTATGTAATTCTCTCTCTCTCTCTCTCTCTCTCTCTCAATATCTATATATATATATATATATATATATATATATATATATATATATGTTTGGTAAATCAGTTTTATATTGGGTAATTAATTCAGAAATGTTTATTAGTATTTTTTTATTAAAAGCATCTTAATGGAAATCTATTAGGCCTAGGGCAAATGCAAAATTGTTAATTTATTTTAAAATACCTATTTTTCTAATTAAAAAATAAAGGGCAGTAAATATAATATAATAAATAGCAAAAAATAAATTATTAAAATACATTATTTACTTTGCTAACTTGTCAAATAAACATACAACGCTTATCTTCCTAATTACCAATTTTCTTGAAACCTACGGAAGCCCTAGTCGAAGAATTAGCTTTTTATAAAGTTTTCTGGTTGTCTTTGATGGAAACATGCATGCATTATTTTCACGATTTTATTATATTATGTAGTTCTGTTATAGTCTGTTATGACTTTTAGTTATAGCAGAATGCAACAGTGAGATTACATAACTGCTTAGAAGCAGATGATAAGTAATAAGGTTATAATAAGGTCGTAACCGTCATCCCTGATCACATAACCTGCGATTTAGAGTGACGCGACGGTGCGCACAATTGCATTCATATTACATTATTTTAATTAATATGTACTTATTTTGCTACGTTGGCAGGTTTTGCTGCACTGAAAGCGTCAGCTTCGACAATAGTAGAACTACGCATCTACGAACTGAGCAAAACGTAAATAAAATGTTCCTTTCGGTTCAAAATTTGCAATTCAATGGTGATTTTAAACAAAGTAAAAGACCACTAACGAGTTTTAAATTTAAAAACCCAGTTGATGTTCATAAACATAGAATGTTCGTGAAACAAGTAGTTGATGAGGCCAATTACAATGATGTTGACGACGATTATGCATCAGAGCACAAATGTTATTACTTCAGCGATTACGTGAAAAACTTTGCTAATAATGAACGGTCAAGACTGTCTTCAGCTAAGTCAAGTATAAACCTTCAAAAAACGGATAAAATACTAAGAGAAAATAAATCAGTGCAAGTTGATTTCAAAACAATAACTAAATCGAAACACAACGAGAATGAATTAACACCTGACGGTATTTTTATCAAAGATGTTGAAATAACAGGAAATTATAACGCTACTGAGAGGCAAATGGAGAACTATGACATGAATAAAAATGAAACTAAAATAGCGTTTTATAGGCGAGGAAAACGAAAAAGTATTACGATTTCGAAGTCTGAAAGCCCAGAAACAGTTCAAGTAATTAGAGTCGATGTTGTTTGCAATTATAGCTGTAGTTCCACAATGTCTGACTACGATGAAGATAAAAAACAGAGTATTGATGATAAAACACCATCAATAGACGCACAAAATGTAAAAACAAATATAAAAAGATTTAATTTGTCAAATAAATATCTTTTAACAAAGTCTGTTAAAGCTTTAGACGAAAATGTTTCTGGAGGTGCAAATGTTACCTTGCTTTGCAAAACATTTACTCTAAGTAATAGATTAAAATCATCGCGAGGTAAACCATCTAAAAAGATTTGTAATATTCGGCACGCTAGAAAAAATGTAAAAATTAAGTAATACGATTTGCCACAAAACTTTAAATTTTATTGAGTGGAGCAGCGAATCGCATTAACTTAATTTAGTTAAAGAATTAAATGACACTATGTTACTATTAGCCAGGCAGCAATGATTACCTGCGAACAAATCTGGCGTCCCTTTGGCGCCACCTTTATGTTTGAACAACTGTTTCCCAAACTTATATTTTTTCTCAAAGCGTTGTCCAAATAAATAAATAAATTTGCATTAATTTTGTCAAAGTATATAAATAATTAAATTGAATTTATAATTTCGTTATATATTCACAAACATTTTTAAATTTTATACTGTATTAGCTATAAAAAATATAATAATCATATTTGTTCAAAAATAATATTTATCAATATAGGGTATGAATATATAAAATAATATTTATTAATATAGGGTATATACCCCCCATGGGCAAGGATACAAACAGACGGCGCCCAGTCCCCGGCGGCCCTGCTATTCCTGGCTACGGTGGCGACCATGGTAACAGCGGGTAGGGGGTGCTAAGAATCTCCAGTGGAGGTTCGGTTGCCACCTAAAACGATTCGACCTGGTAACATACAACGCACGCACCCTGAGGACTGACGAGAAGATCCTGGAGCTGGAAGAAGAAAGAGACAAGTTGCGCTGGTATATTATAGGATTATACGTGGTCCGAAAAGACAGGGAGGACACAGCGATGACTTACGGATCTGAGATATGGTCCTTCACTGCTGGTCGTATGAAGACGCTCACATTCGCTTAGCGAGCTATGGAGAGGGCTATGCGCGGGGTTTCGGGGAAATGAGGATATCCGCAGTAGAACCAGAATGACTGACATAGCCCAACGGATTAATAAGCTGAAGTGGCAATGAGCCGACTATATAGCTCAAAGAGCCGACAACCGATTGGGAAAAAGGTTCTTGAGTGCCAGCCTCATAACGGTAGGCGTAGTATAGGGCGACCCCCCACTAGATGGAGTGACGACCTGGTAAGACATGCAGAAAGCCGATGGATGCAGGTGGATCAGGACCGTGCTTTGTAGCATTCCCTGGGGGAGGCCTATGTTCAGTAGTGGACTTATGAACAGCTGTAATGATGATGATGATGATGAGGATATGGCTCTCTTTAATGAATTGTTAGTAACTTTTTGTAAAAATGTTAAAAATTATATAATATTTAAGATCCGCGAAACTTGAGAACCTACGCCTTAGAGTAGAAAAAATTAAGCGTAAACTTTTCACATACCCTGTGATTTAGAGCGACCGTCCGCACAATTTATTTTATTTAGAAAACATTTAATCTTCCAATTGTGATCACAAAAAGTATCGGTATGTAATAAATCTTTTATAAATAATACAAAATTTAAATAATCATGTCTCAAAATTCCTAAAAAAATCATTTAACTAAATTTATTATTAACATAAGTTTAGTAATTTAATAAAGTGTTATTAATAATAGCAATCTATATAGTAGTCAATCGCAGTCGTGAGTCGTAACCGACCGTATGCTGGCAGTGCCAGTTAAGTATGCCAGCCTGGCACTGGCACACTTAACGTCAGTAACCATAATCAGTAACTGCCCCTGAGAATGAGTTTTCTATCGTATTATAAATCGTCATTGAATTACTTTGTGTGACAAAAATAGTTCCATTTACGCCCGCTAGGGGCGCTGTTTATATTTCTATATGTAGACAGAGATACAATTACCATACTTACAATTTTACTCAATGATGTTAAGAAAACGTGTCAAAACTCAGCATAAGTTTTTATTTGATCCCAAATTATGGCAGTCTTGATAGCAAGTTTTTGTCGATCTACGTAGACAGGATATTGTCGAATTAGACAAATAAAACGACCTATTTATGAAATGACCTATTTATGAAAATGTTTATATCGTATCAAATATATATTTATTTAAAGCTTTAAGATTAAATTATAATTCATTGTTTTTTATTCTTAAATAATACACTTTGAAGGCGACGCTAGGATATTGTAAATAAAACGAAACTTTGAGAGCTTAAAGTTTGATACCAAATTCTTAATAATATTGTAAAATATTTCTAGCGCTGAAGAGCAATAAAATATAATCGAAGAATCAATTGTAAAGTACACCAGTTCCTGTGATTGTTTCGTATAATTACTTATAGATTATGAATAATTGATAAAGTAATTAATATATATGTAATATTTAAGTCAAAATGAATTAAAACATAAGTATGAACTTTTTACCCCCAGATATAGATTTCTATAATAGTAAAGATAAGGGAACAGCTTGCCATTGACTCACCACAGACATTATTGTTTTGATAAATGTACTTTCAGGAATTGTAACATTACTTTCATATAATGTATAAAACCGAAATATATAAAATATACTATATTGCAATACTTTGTACTTTTTTCTTATTATTTTTCTTTAATAATAAATTTTTAAATGTTAGTAACAGTAATAATAACAAAACAAGGTCAGTTCCTAATTAGAAGTATTATATTAGCCCTATCATCTGCAATTGTTTACAATCATCATCATCATCATAAGTCCACTGCTAAACATGCATGGAAAGCATGTACGCGAGCCATCTGCATCCTACGACTTCCTGCTTCTTTTACTAAGTAATTACTCCATTTATACAAGATAAATCCGTAGGTATTTGCGTGCAGTTTTAGAATGGATATTTTTTTAAAGTAGAGTGAAAACCGGCTTACAGTTCACCTGATGTACTGTCGCTACGGCGATTCATGAACACATGGAACCACTTCTAACAAAAAACAAAATTATAAATGAATGCGAAAGAATGTAATTATTGAACTTTCTCTACATACTAGCTACTGGAACACTGCGTACAAACTGGAACACTGCTGCTTAGAGACAGAAATAAGTATGAGTAAATTAGGTTAAATTAAAAAAGCAAAAATAAAAAAATTATACCTCAAGTAAAATATTTTAATAGTCATAGTGAGCTAATAAGTCATTACACGTTTTCAGAAGTATCAATTTAAAGTAAAAATTGTAACTTAATTATCATGCGATACGACAAGGTTCGCGTGCTGCATTTATTAAATACGAAATGCGAACATGAAACTATTGTAGAAGATATTTACTGCTTTTCTGATTTGCAGCAACGTTGATATTAATGTATTTCACTGTCATCAATAAACCCGATTCCATAATGACAACTATCATTATTTGTACTATTTGCAAATCTTTATGGTGCGTATGTTACTGATAGTCACTAACTTTTATACGGCGTGAGGTTATATTCACACAATACCAATATTTGTTATCAAGACGATGGTTTGTAACTATGCTAGGATCAGATTTGATTAATCTAGTAGTCGTACCTGCGTTGCAGTTGCTGATCATGAGTTTCCAGGTTCGGATTCCGGGTCAGGCTAAAATCAGTTATTGGATTTTTCTTACAAGAAATTATCTTCAGCAGCCCGGAATCAGAACGATGGCGATGTTTTATCCCCGTGCCTCGGAAAGCACGTAAAACCGTGGGTCCTGTGCCTGAACTCTCTCCAGTCGTGTCGAATTATTGTTCCATCCAACTATGAGAGCAAGGGAATAGAGAGTGCACCTGTGCTTGCGCATACATTCTGTCAATATGATCATCTCCTGCGTAGATAGCTAGTCTCTGTTAAGACCGGCCACCGTGATCGAAATAAGGTTTGGAGGATGTCAGAATCCGATGAGTGGCACTGTAATCAAGTTTTAAAAAAATAACAACATTGGACCCAATAGATGGTGTTGTAGACGAGTTATTAATACATTTTATATTTATATTGTTCGTAGTGCATTCGAAGTTATATCTCATTGCGTCACCTTCCGGAAAAGGTACATACAACAACGTCCTCCCGCTAGTTAAGTATAGATTTTTAATCCATAAATCGAATGAAAAGTTTTCCTATAAATAGAAAGACAATAATGTTCTCTGTTGAAATTACTTATTTCAATTATAATAGGCGGCATCAAAACGTTTTAATAACAAATGTTATGATAAGCTTATGCAGATTACATTACTTTTATACTTATACGTTTTACTTCAAGGTTGAATCTAGACTTAAAGTCGACGCTAGAAGTTTGCATATAGGCTTAATAGAAATCATGAGCAGAAACTGGAATGATTAACGATCGAAACGGAAACATTTCTGAATATTAATTTGTAGTGGAGGTCACTGGCGGCATAGCGAATGTGACAGAGCCGCTGCGAAAGGATTGGTACGCCATGGACCACCCCGCCCGATGGGGTGAAATGTGTGTGCCGAATTTATAGGTGTGAGAGATGGAACTTCAGGGCAGCAAAAGGGTGAGGTGGACTTCGGACCACCCTAACTTGGGGGGTTGTAAACCCCCCAATTTGCCCTAGTCCGGCACCCCCGCCCGAGGCTCCCCGGCCGTTTCTGTCCAAGCGATAAGAGGGAAGAGGGGTGAGCGTCAAATGGACGTTTTACGCATAATTTAGAGCAGTAAATGGATTTGAACAGTCTCCGCATAGCAAACCTACGTCGCAAACATTAATATATTGATTATCTAAACATAAATGGTATAGAATATTATCAGAGAATTTAATCTTAGACAACGCAAGAACAAATTATTGCCAAAAGACAGAATTAGACATTATTTAATTGATACAACATTGAGAGGGAGGGAAGAGTTGTCTATTAATTAAAATTAAAATGCAACATGCTAATATTGCACTTTAACTTTTATACTGATATACCTATATCATTTTCATTTCAATTAACAGAGTACTCAAACTCTCAGTATAGTAAAGATATAAGCATAGTAATATAATTACAATTAGTTTTTTTAATTTTATTTTTAAAGTATCTTTACTTGTACCTTTAAGATATTCAAAGGCATATTCTACGAAAATTCTTGAAACCTCAAATAGACACGAAAAGCGTTTGAGAAGAATGTTATAATTTGGATTGTGAACTCTAAAATAAGGGAGATAAGACTGAATTTTATTTTCGCTAAAATATCTTAAAGTAGTAAATCTGCAAAAT